GTACGTACCGTACCGTCCGTCGTCGTCTCTCTCTCTCTCTCTCTCTCTCTCTCTCTCTCTCTCTCTCTCTCTCTCTCTCTTGCTCGCTCGGAGATAAGCGGCGGCGCTTTACCGTCGCTTGCAAAACAGAATCTCCTTCCCTTGATCCGCCCGTTGCAGCTCACGACGCGGCAATCGATTTTCGAGGATAACGCTCGTTTCGCAACGAGATTCCCGGGGATTTCGTCCAAGGTGTGTACCGAACGAAACGATTCCTTTAAGGCCACGCTGTAGACGTGTTATCTCCTCTATCCTATATAGTAAAGATTCATGAATTCACGGAAGACGCGGATCGATACTCCGTGGACGAAAGGCGGTTATCATCCGTACGATCGCACGGCTCGTGCGGAAAAGTGAAGCGCGAGCGCGGTGTACGAATTCGGTCGGAGATGTGGCGTGTGTTTCTCTTCTATGTTTCTTATCAGCCGACACACCAGCCTTGAATGTCGATGGATATCCTCGTTGAAGTGGGTCATCGCCGTCGGGAGTTGGCAGACGGCGGCGAGCGTCGTGATGACGACCGACGACAATGTGTGTGTGGGTGGAGAATGAAGTTGTCATCAGAAGGCAAGGGTAGGGACCTAGGTTGTTGGAGCAGAGAAACTGCAAGCGAGTAAGAAGAGAAGGAGGTCGTAAAGGGAAGCTTTTTCCACGATGATCGGTTCCCGACCTCTTCAATGTTTCTCGGCTCATTCATAATAAATTCATAAATGCCTCGCACGTCCCCATTCCGTGTGAAAATACTTGATCTAACTCGGTCTCCCGACTCATCATTACCCATCATTAACGAAAACTTAATTGATCGTCATCTTCTTACGTAGCCCGCATTAATCATGCGAGCGATGACTAAACGTTCGATTAATATTCCATCGAGAGTCGATGCTGACGGTTCGCGGCGTTTCGAGCTCCAATCTCATTTTACAGCGGGAATCAGCTTCCCAAGTTAGATCCGGCTTTGGCCAAAATAATTCTGCCAAAAGTTTTTGATTATCTCGCACGTTACGTAATATCATCCAATAATACCAAGGGTCTTTGATTTTCTCGTTGAGAAGATCCTTACACGGCGTGATTCGCGCGAGGGACTGCCTCGCTCCATAATTTCTCATTCCACTGCACCAGCTAGCGATCCGACATCGGACGGTCGACTTGCATAAGAGGTCAAATGAAGATAAAATTACAACCTGGAAAGTGTCATCGGCGTTCGATCGACCGCGGTGTCCTTGAATATCATCTGTGGAAGTCGAAGGACATAAGCCGATTGAATATTTAATAGTGGGATAGCGTGGCGCGCGCAAGTCCAAATTAAAGTTCATTCAAGTCGGGGAAAAAGTTGGGCTTTTCTCCGCCGCGAAATTCTCCCCTTAGCGCCGGTGTAAATCTTCCGCTTCGTAACTATATGAGATATGCTCGTCGCTTATTTTCGCATAAATACGTATAAAATCGATATCTCGTATTGGGATATTAATTTTTCGCTGACAGTAATTATGCCGTGAATATCTGTTCGGTCGCCCAA